TCAAATTTCTATTTTTTATACTATTAATATTATAATTTTTATTTTGCCCCCTTTAAATTTATTTTTGAACTCCCAGTTTTTTTTAAACGTCACTCACCAGACCAACTTGTCCACAATTGTCAATTAACAATTCAACACTTCTTTTATTTTACTATTAATTTTTTATATTAATTATTATCATTCTAAAATTTTAATTGGGTCATATAAAAAGACTTCAACTCTCTTTTATTGCCCTGAAAATCGAAAATCGAACCTAACCGATGAGAAAATAAACCGAACCAAACTGAACCAACTTATGTGTACTGGAAATCGGTTACCGAAATGTTATCGGTTCAGTATTAGTTGTGAACTCAATATGTCATATCTTTTCCCCCCTCTCAACTAATTTTCTGGTTTCGCCCTTGTATGCATGCATGGAGTATCTTGTCTGCTTTCTCGATTGTTTGAAATCGTGCTTGCATAGATTCTTGGTACGAACTTCCTAATGCTCAACTCTCCTTCTTCAATAAATTGATTTGTTTGGCATTAAATCGGAATCCCGAATCTTATCTTTAAGTCGGAACCAAGACGACAAAGGGAAGATTAGCAAAGTCAAAAGGAAGTTCAAAATTATATTCTTTCCTTTTATCTAGTCTATTTAATTATGGACTAAATAATATTATTTGCATTATAGGAAAGATTGGAGCTGACATAGATCAAGGGACTTACCATGCATAAAACATATCATGCATAGAAGATCTTGCGTGAAAAGAAAGAGGATGCACCTACCATATCGAGGCAAGTTTGCAGAGGAGTTCACCAATGAAGAAAACTTACAATTTTTGAGGGAACAAGATTGACATAAGATTTGAAAGATAAAGTCGTGAGCTATTTATGGGAACTGACTGAATGCACTTACCTTATGGAGCACAGTATATAGAGCTTTGCAGATACACTTTGTTTCTTACGACTTTTGATTAATTTTGTGTGTGTGTGTGTGTGTGTGCAAGTTGAGCGACAAGTTGAGGAAACTTGTTTTTGATTTTATTTTATTTAGTACTCAAATTAGAGAGCATGTTCTCTGATTTGAGCGTGAGTATTTTTTATCTATTCTTTGAGGTGTTTGGATGAATGTCATTATATTACAAGAGGGATTCGTGTTGTAAAAGTCCACGAGGAGTGGTCGGAAAGTAGTTGAGTGAAGTGATTACATTGTAGGCTAGGAAGAGAGAGTCTTCACTGTAAACCCTAGCCGTAATAGGTCAAACACTTACTTTAATGAAAAAGTTCCGAAAGTGAGGCGCTCTCCTGAAGGTTCATGTTTGGTGAAAATTGCTTCCTCATTTAAGTGAACTTACACTGTTTACTGTTTAGGCGCAATTTTATAACTCCCCTAAAAATTTCACCTTTGTCGAAAACTTCCTCTATACAGGACCAGAATTGATCGGATGATTGTTATGCCCCAATCGATGATGACCATCATGTTGCAATTTCTTGGTAAAGGTACTTGGGAAAGCGTAGAGAATGGGTGGACACATCCAATTACAATGAGAGCACCAAACAATGATACTCAGTCTTAAATTGAAGAAGTACTTAAGACAAGAGATGTATTGACGAAACTCGAAAGGATGTAGGAAGAGGCAAAATTTCAATCCTTTTACGCAATTCTGACATACACGACACAAGATGATAGTTCAATGCACCACAACCAAAGATGCATGGCGTGTCCTAGAATGTCAGTTCGAAGGATCCAAATTCATAAAATCCTCCAACTATAGTGTGTGTCGTTGTTCTTTGATGATATCAAGATGAAGGAGGATGAAAGCAGTGACTCGTACTACTTGAAGTTCTGAGTTAAAGGGGACAGCGGACTCCAGGACATCGTCGAAGAGGTCGTCGGAGAGGTTGGTGGGGGGAGGGGGGTCAGGGTCGAGGTAGTCGATTCGGTGGAAGTAGGACTTGAGCTGGTCCAGGCTGACGGTTTTCTCGCAATTCTTACAGCCGACGAGTTTGGCGGAGGTGGATGGGAGAGGAAGGGATGGTGGTGATGTGTGGGTAGAAATAGACCGCTACAGAGAGGATAAACAATATGTAAATAAAAACGCAACATATACTAAAAATATATCGACTACAAAAGCAACATATAATAAAATTATTCTAATGTTCGTCTTGCACAAAATTTCGATTCTCGTCGTTAAGCCTTCACCTCTTTTTGTTATAATTGCCAATCTGGTCTGTTTTGTCATTCAATTTTTTTTTCAGCCTCATAAATGTGGTTGGATAAATGTTATGTAAATAGAAACTCAAAATATAGTGAAATGTGACTATAGAGGCAACATATACGAAAATTATTCTAATGTCCGTCTTACACAAGGTTTTGTCATTCGATGTTAAGCTTTCACCTACTTTTCTTATAATTGCCAACCTGGTCAGTTTTGTTGTTTTTTTATTTTTTTTAACATCCTGAAAGGCACTTATAAAGTGCTTTACTATCAATGTTGTATGATTGTTGGTAAAAAATTAATTAGAAAATGTAAACAAAATTCAAACATCACAAATGTGGTTATATAAAATAAAATCACAATATACAATCAAAAATATTATTATGCTCGTCTTGCACAAGATTTGACGCTTAATTGTCGACCTGGTTCAACACGATCTTCATCACCTCGTCCTTGATGGAGGGCCCCACCACTGCATCTATGATTTGTTACTACTTGATCGAGAGTGAGTGTAGGTAGATTAGCTGAAGGGATCTGATCTTACCACCTTGGACTAGCCAACCGAGCTTCGTCACCGGCACCCATTTATGCACGACGCGACCTGCAACCGCATCCTCTCCTATACCCGCTGAGGCCACGACCGCCGTCAAAGCTGCCCCTGAACGGCCCCTTTCTTTGCCTCTCTGAGTATCAGACATTTTTTAGTGGCTTTGTAGGGATTTGATGTGAAGAGGAAATGAGAGCGGCGAGTGAACGAAAGGTTTATCTTAAGAAGAAAAAAAAAAGAAGGAACAAAATAGGGAGAGAGCAGAGATAAAGAGAGAAGAGTTGATGCAATCCTGTAAAAAGTGAAAATTGGTATCGACAATCCTATTAAATCCCCATAGTCCGTAAATAAATATAATCATATGTTAACTGACAATCTAGTATTTATGCAAATAAATAGAATAATTTTAGTATTTTACGAAAAACTAGTAAGCATCTCGTGCGATACACATACGAATTTGTACTTTAAAACCTTTTCTAAAAATTTTGTTTTAACAATATATTGGTCCATTGACTTGTTTATATTATTATAAATAGGTTTTTAACACATTTATTTATGTGTTTATACAATAAAAGTAATAATAATAAGTTTACTTATTTTTTTCAATCATAATACTCAAATATTATTTTATGCTAAAGTATATTATTATATAATGTCATTGTTATTATTTATAACACTTATAAAAGTATTATTATTTTTATATATGATAATAAATATTTAATTTACATTAAAAATTATTTATTAATGTAATTAATTTAAAAATATACAAAAAAAATTAAAATAAATATTGTGTTATATATGAATTCTACAATTTTTAAAATTTATCCTATCACATAATAATTTAAAAAAATTACATATACATGTGTGTGTGTAAATTATATATATAAAAAGGTCTGGTGGGATATTTTCAACATTAAGAGAAGATGGCTATGTGTGTGTTAGAAATAGGGGTGTTCACGGTCTGGTTGTAACCGAAAAAACTATCAATTCGGACCGCGGATCGGTTAAATGGTCGGTTAAAAAAGCCTTAAAAAATCCGGTGGTTAATTTTTTTAAAATCTGGAATAACCGGTCCGGTTAACGGATTACCTGCGGCAAACTGCCGGTTTAACCGGATCGGACCGGTAAATATTAAAAAATTATAACAAATATATATACATTCAGTCATTCATTATGACCGACAAATACAACACATTCACTTTCACTTTTTGGCCTTTTGTTGACTTAATTTTGTAAGACACTATAACTTTTTATTTTTTCCCACCTTCGTTTTTTTATTTTCAAAATTTCCCACCTCCTCTTCCTAATTTTGGAACGAAATGTGTATTTTTATGCGTATGGGACGAATTGTGTATTTTTTATTTTTTATTTTTTATTTTTTTTCTTAATTTTTAGGCTCAAATAATCTCTTTTGGACCCAAAATTGAAAAGTAAAAATTAAACAAAAAATGAAAAAAAATGAAAATTGAAAACCCAAAACAAAGATTTTGGATTTAACCGGTTAACCGCCAAACCGGACCGTCCAATGCGGTCCGGATTGTGGCCGGTTAAAAAATAAAACTGGTTCGGTTATGGACAAGAAAAAAAATTAACTGTTAGGTCCGGTTTGATTATGGTTTGGGCTAACACCGGACCAATCTGGACCATGAAGACCCCTAGTTAGAAATGTGATTATATGTAAGTTAAGATGAGATATAATGTACTCAGATAAATCTGTGCGTGATTTTTTCATTTAAATGTTTGAATTTATTTTATTTTTTTTTTCAAAATTTTTTAAAAATACATTAAGAAGGGATATTTCCAAAATTTTCAAAAAAGATTACTATGCTTAGTAAATATTTAAGCGAAAATTTAAATTATTTTTTAGTTACTATTTCATTTTTTTTTTGGGTTGTCGCTTACTTCTTTATATAAATATAAATATAAAATAATAGATTATATATAGTGTATATATGCAATATAAAATGATATTGTATGGTTGAGTAAGTATTGTGGGAAATTTACACCCTTCCTGTGTGTTTTGAAAATAGATGCACATAAACAATTCAAGCAAAAATAATTACATTAATACCAAGCCAAAAGCAAATATAGGAAAATGCACAATATAAGTCACTAAAATAAAAATGATTTGTATTCCTTATTTATCGTAACTGAAAGCAATTATAATAATAATAATAAAAAAAAGACGGAGCATCCCACACTCCTCGATTCCACCAGATCTTCTTCCCCCCTCCCCCCTCGACATCAATCGAGCCTGATGGCGTGGCCCGCACGCAGACCGCGTTTG